TATATATATATATATACCAATGTATATCAATGTTGTTACTCTAGTGAATGCATCTCTTGATCTTGGGCGCCCCATACATTTGTCTTTCAACCCGGACATGGTTTTGGAGATCACTCGGTTTTTTGATGACTTCATTGTGCACCAGTCAGTCAGTTCCGCTCCAACGCCTCCACACAARTCTCCGCAAGAAGCATCGACTGAAAATTATTCTGCTTTGAAGTTTTGTAACTTGACGACACATGACATATCCCTAGAGTTATCTTTGACTACGCGGGATGACTGTCCTAAAGTATTACTTGGAATGACGGGAGGCAGAGGCAGTATAAGGATAAAGTGTGACGAACAAGGTKTGGTTTATGCAAAGCAAACTTCATAAACTATTTAGTCATATTCAAACTTTTTAGACTATAAGTTGTAGTGCTAAAGAAATTATGGTAGTCAAACCCAATCGAAATCGAATACTTTTTCACCCATTTGTTTCAAAGTCAATGCTCAGAATTACCGCTATCTCAGAAACGTTGGTGAAGGTTTTTTTTTGCGATGTGGAATACCAGGCTTGTATTGTGGATTACATGTAAATGATGTCAGCACAGAGAAAATTGCATTCACATCGCCCATAGCTCATTTCGAGTTGAGARTGCAACAAAACCACCAACGGTTTTTAAAAATAGCTATATATCGTTTCTTTAGCACTAAAGCTTAAAGGTGGTGTTACACGGAAAGACTTGCAACACCGATTTTTCGTGCAACGCTATTGCGCMATTTGTGTRTCGATTTTTTTCGACATGTTACACGGGAACAWYTTTTCGCGCAACATTTACTTTAGTATCAGTCCACGCGCTGCCAACTCTCTCACGGCTCTTTTTTTTCTTGGCTTTTCTTGCCTTTATCATTTTTTATCAACTACAAAMGTTTTATCTTGTCTCTTTCAGTCGGCGCCATCTTGTTGCGCGTCAAATCGGCGATGGACATGTTACACGCATCGATTTGCTGAAAATTCGTCATCTTGTGTTGCAMGTTTTTGAAGCCAGATCAAAAACTTGCAACGTGTTGCAGAGTGAAAAATTGCGCGAAAAATCGTACTCGGCGCTATGTTACACGACAACGATTTTTCGTGCAACAGTGTTGCGCAAAAAATCGGCGTTGCAAGTTGGCCCATGTAACTCCACCTTTACTTTTTCATGTTTTTTCAAATTTTTTATTACTGCAATTTYCACAAACATGCGAACTCTGTGTCTCCGAGTTGCACGCTGAAATTTGGTTTTTCGCTGCCGCCAGTCAAAAATATAAAAGGTACCGACTGATTAGGTTTGATTGACGGCAGCGAAAAACCAAATTTTAGCGTGCAGCTCGCAGACAGMGTTCACATGTTTATGAAAATCGCAGTAAACTCGTTAGAATATTTAACACTCAGTTTTAATAACATTTCATATATAAAMTTTCTTTCACAAAGGTTTGAACAAATGAATATTTACATATTGTTACTGTGGGTTTTCTGAAGGACTCTCAGATTCTGGTCTGTCGGTTCCTCTTTATTTTTCATCCACTGCTGAAGAAACATAAGCACTGAACTTTCGCAGCTGCTGCACGCACATGCAAATAATCCACATGTTCATAAGAATGTGAAGCTTAAGCTTGACTGAAAAATGAGAGTAAAACCCTTTAAGATCGTTTATTTGCCTAGAAGATACTAAAGTAGGATTTAGCTCTTAAGGTTTCTTGAAAGAATTTCTAAAATATAAACCGATGATTGCTTGCATTTAAGACTTTTTAAAACCATCCTACGTTTGTGATAACCCAAAGATATTTAAAGATGTGATAGTAAAAGTATGATTATGGAAGGGTGTGGCTTGATAATCAGCCTTTGCATATTTTAAAAATAGAATTTATCTGTTTTTGTTCATCCGAGGCATTGCTTTTTACAAAGCACTAAACTTTACTAAAATATGATCTTCCCTAAAACAAATATATTTCAGACTCATTTCGTAGCCTTTGTTTTAAGCTTCAACTTTTCTTTGTTTTACAGGAATCTTTCAACGTTTGGATGGCAATGTAGAGACTGAAGGAATGGAAATGTCTTTCTTGGCATACGCCCAGTCGTTTTACCTTGTCAGGCCATTCATACTCAAATGTGAATTTGAGATTATCAGCTCACCCCATAGCTTGACTCCAATTATACCGAGGTATGACGAAACTTGGCTAACARCTGATGAACAAAGGAAGCAAATTTGGCATCTCTGAAAGCAACTGTTGATGTTTTATATATAATTGTTTGTTTTGAAGTATTTAATGGCAAGATAGCTTTGAAATAAGCCGGATACCAACATGTTTGCAAAAATCAGTAAATGGCAGTATAGGTCGAGATCTCGTAATTTAGCTAATTTCTTTTAAATTTACAGTTTGCCGCAGATATGCAGCCGCGTTAGCATTGGTCTTCTWCGGTTGGAATTTGGACAGCAGCACATGAACTGTATTGCAGCTTTATCCAAAGCACTTCAGGAATTTTCCTCCGYTCATTCGTCAAGTGCTAATACAGAAGAAATGCAAGTCGTAATGACAAATAAACAAATTGATATTAAGAACGACAACGATAAAGTGGTTGGTTTGACATCTGTTAGAGCAGAAGCGGATTTGGGTCTTGATGAACAAGATGTCGACAACACGTACGGTAAAAATGATGTCAAGGAACAGGATTTGGATGGTGTTAAACAAACTTTTGATGATCTCAGGGCCGGCCCTTTTAAATACGTAATGGTCTCGGGTAAGGTCCACCTTATCAGTAATTGTGTTAGTCAATAAATAATCTTCAATGTTTTTTAGAAAACAAAGTAAATTTGCTGGCTCTTTAATTTCAGGTGAAGTAGGTTTACACCATCCTGAGTCGTACGAAATCTTGTTCACAACAGACACGCGTGAACGACCTCCAACAATGGTATGGCGTTACCCAGAACCACGTGCTTTGTCATCCGTAGAAGTTCTTCCTCTTCCATTCACCTCCCCTGTTCTTGTCAACACTCTTAACATGGGCGATGAATTACGAGTAAGTGAAAAGTACAAAAACTTCTATTTTCGCTTTGTTTGTTTGTTTTTATTTAGCTAACGGTGCTTGTAGTGGGARAAACATTATTCGGGATAGGACACCTTTTACATTGTCAACCACACTCATAATGTAAAGCGAAAACTGTAGTTGATCAGGAATGAGCAGAATCAATAACATATTTATCTAAGCCAATCACATTTTTTTATTCACCATTAAAATTAACTTTCATTTTGCATTTGATGAAATTGTATTATAAAAATACCTTAGATTTTTTTGCGCGTGAGGGGGATGGGTCAGGAGCAGGAGAGTTGGAGAGGCAGCGCATTAGCAGAGCACACCACCTGTCCAATTTTGGTTTTCACTCTACTTCTTGATTGATTAACTTCTGAAAAAATTCTCCCAGTTAGTGCATTGCACTTGTTTCAGTAATGTTGTTTTTAAGGGTTTTAATGACGCTTCTAATAACGTCGCCTCTCACCCGCGACCCGGGTTCGATTACAGGGCTCAGWGTCATATGTGAGTAGAGTTGCTTGCTGATTTTCTCTTTTGCTTCGAGGGCTTCTCAGGATAATTCACTGGTTATTTTWAAACCTTTTTTGCTTAAGTACGTACGTTTCCTAGTTGTGACCTTGTTTGGAGAGAATACCTACAGTGTCGTGTACGGGTAGGAATATTCTAGGCTATCTTTAGATAGGTTAAATATTCCGTTGTACAACATTTCAGGTACCATGTGTGCTAAGCTACTGGGACACCCTTCAAAAATGCTACATTGTTTATAAGGRATTTTATATTTCCGAGACATCATCGTGTAAGATCTCGCTACCAGATCCCTTGCGTTCAGACCCGGCTACTGTGATCGTGGCCAAAGAGTGGCAAATGATTGTAGATGCAAGTTTTGAAATAGATTACTCCGAAGACCAGAGGTATGGCTTTGTCATTTTATCAATAAATATTTATTTTGGTTTTTGCCTCACTGGATCRTGCTGCCTTCAGATCTCAGGTTGAATTTATATTAACTCAACTAATTTGCCTAGCCTGAGTTAGTGTGTACCCAACTGAATCCATTTACCTTTCTCTCTCAGTATCAAGAATTGTTGGAATTGGAATATCAATTTCTTGATAGAAGTTTATTTTAGTTCAAGTTGATTTATTTTCTTTTAGTTTGGTTGATGAAGACAGTGGTTCGTCGTACAGTAGTCCTTATCGGTCTCTGATCAGTGCAACATCTCTTGCTGCTTCAGTAAAAGTTGATTCTGTCTTCTCTCCATCACTCATTCCTRCTGTTTTGGCTCAAGTATCGATCAGCATGTTCCAAATCAAACTGCTTCATCATAACCAGTATTCACATCAAGGTAAGAAAAGCATATTTCGAGATATGATCAAAAAAGGAAATATGGATGAYACATATTTACTACTTGATCTAGAAGATTTATAACGCTAAAACATTATTGATATGACAGAATGCATTGGTGTACAAAATTAAATAGAATAACGTTAGTATTTCAGCTAAAACTCTCGTAGGCGTKACATATTGATGGTTTTCACGGCGGCMATGTTGGAGGAACTTAAAAGAATTGTCAATGAATTATTTTATTATATCCTMCAACATGGCCGCCGTGTCTTTTRATATTTAATTCTATTGGGAATGGTTCAAAAAAACCATCAATACGCAAGATATAGAAACGAAATCAATTTTGCATTYATTGGCAATGGAAGTCGTACCTGTGATGTAAATAAATTGTTTGTTATAYAACAGAAAAGCATATGAAAAATGTACCAAAAAATCATTTTTTTAAATTAATGTACGGATTCAATTTGTTGTAGTTCTTCCCAAGCATCTTGCTGGTTACACCATAGATTCGTCAGTTCCCACAGAACAAGAGTTTTGTACCTTRACTATCGAAGGTTTGAGTGGTGTTACCAAGCACTTAGGAGGCGGGAATGCGGTAACATTGTGCAGTTATGAATGGAACTGTCATTTTGAGCTGTTGGACTTTGGTGATCTGACATACAGAACATTGGTTTCTCCTTTTAGTATAAGCGTAACTACTGCCTTTCACRAAAAAGGGGTAAGTTTAGGCGTCACTCGTACCTTATTACATAAAATTTTCTCGACACGTTAATTTCGCGATCATTTGCGAAAAAACAGCCGTTCTAAGTCACTTTGATTTTGCTATTTCATAGTATGCACTTGGTGTCTCTGTGGTCGCGAGGGAAATAGTTAGTTTTGTTTTCCCGAGAGTCTCGATGTTCAATTGAGAAATATTGAGAAGTCAGTTTACGAAATAAGAACTCAGTTTATTAAGCAAGCTAAATGCATGAAAACTGAC